CCTGCAAACAATGGTTGAACATATCAATGTTAAAAGACAAGCACACCGCCTGAGCAATAAGTAAAGTGGTGAAGGAGAACATATCGTCTCCACACTTGGTGATGTTTACGAGGAGAGGATGAGCTCCGAGAGTCCATGGAATTGATGTATTTCATCCTTTATTTTTGTATTCGTGGTTATGTACTATATTTTATCAGTATTGGCTGTTTTCTTTCTCTTGAGAAGTAGGTGTAGAAGATGTACACTGATTAAAGTAAGTAAAGATACAAGGGAATTATAGATGAGGGCCGCAGCGCATGAAGGTACTAAAGCAGTGACTTATAAGGTAAGGAATTGGTGGTGTAGTGTGAACGTGCAGAGACAATGAATGGGGGAAGAGTGCTTATAAGACTTCATTTACATGGAGTCAGAAGGCTGTGTGGTAGAGGGAGAGATCTGAGATAGGACGGAAAGGCAGGGTGAGATATGTGTCACAGTAGCTTTTCTAACTTTAGTTCAACTTTTCTTCGTTCCATGTCAGCTTGCTCGCCAGTTGGACAATTTCTCACTCCTCGGTTTAGTACGATTGGTAGGTTCTGGATATAGACACGCCTTTGAACATACCTGAACGTGAGCCAGACTTGTGTTGCTTGGACTCAAAAAATAATTTATAACTAGTAGTTAGCACACGGGGAGGCAGCGTACCTAGCACTGCACTCGACTGCCTTCCCTTCCACAATTGTAACGTTTAGTACCCATACACACCTGGGTGAACCATATGTTTTCCGGACGCGAGCCAGTGATCCTAAGAACAGGAGGTGAGCGCTATATTCAGTCGGCTGTTGCACCCCTCACCTGATTTACTTTTTGACCAAGGATTTTTACTTTGTGTTTTAAGTTTTAATTGTCATCACTATTTTCTCGTATCCTCTACTTTCTATTTCACAATCTCTTTTTCGTTGTCTAATGTTTTATCTTTCTTTTCGCAACCTAACGCCTCCTCCCACCACCTTCCTCAGCTTCACCAGCCCTCCACCCTGCATCAATACCACCTCAGTCAGTAAGCTCGCCTCCATATTCGACTTCTTCCCCTTTATGTCCCGTGAGAAGGTTGGCGGTGGCGGCTCCCTCGCTCCCAACATGGGCCTCGCCTCTCCTCCCCACCCTTGCTCCTCCCTCTGCTCCTGCACATCTTACTTCCTTTTTTATTGTGGTTGTGTTCGTGTCTTGCATTTATAACGTCTTCTGTTTGGCATGTATAAAGTACGCTCAAATACTGTACGTGCAGTATCTGGTGTATAGTCCCTGTTCAGCACTAAGCATAACCTCAGTGTCTTGAACAAACAGTGTTGTTCTCTTCTCGAAAACCCCGTTTCATGTACGAGTACACAAATCTCAATTATTGTTTTTGCGGTACTCATTTATAAGTCCGACTCAGTAATTGTTTCTGCATTGTTTATATTATATCTGAAGGTGTTATGGGTACTGCACACACACTTTCCCACGATGGTGTACATTATAGTCATTTCTTTTTTTTTAGCTGGCGGTAATAGGCTAAAAGCCTCGTCCCACTTGCAGTACATTGGCTCATGCATATTGTATCGATTAATATTGACATATCGCAAATAAATCCATATATAACTCTTAAGGCGGGTACCCAGCTCTGGCTCACTTTAATGACAAATTTAATGCCAGTAAAGATATAACTGCTTGAAAACATTAACTTTCAAGATACATTCACAACTTCTTCTCTTTTCACTAATTATTATGTATATGACGACAGTTAGACCAAACATATAAAGTAACCATTTTATTAGGAGTAGAATCAAGTGTAAACACCTACCCGTGCACTACCTTCCCCTTACCTCCCCGTGCACTACCAACCTCCTCCACGTCCACGCCTCCTCCACATCCACACCTCCGCCACGTCCACGCCTCCTCCACGTCCACGCCTTCTCCACGTCCACGCCTACTCCACGTCTCCACGACCTCCACGTCCACGTCCGTCCACGCCTTCTCCACGTCCACGACTCCTCCACGTCCACGACGTCCACGACCTCCACGTCCACGTTTCCTCCACGCCCACGCCTTCTCCACGTCCACGCCCACGTCCACGCCTCCTCCACGTCCACGACTCCTCCACGTCCACGCCTTCTCCACGTCCACGACTCCTCCAAGTCCACGCCTTCTTCACCTCCACGCCTTCTCCACACCCACGCCTCCTCCATGTCCACACCAACACCACACCCCACACCTCACTTGGGCCTCCACTTCAACCTTCACCGCCACACCCCACACCTCACCCACCCACACCTTCAACCTCCATCTTCACACCTCACCTTGGCCTCCACCTTCAACCTCTAGTCCCTACATCCAGCACCTCCACTGGCCCCACCTTCCACCTCTAGCCACGTACCCCACACCCCGTTCGCCACTGCGTCTCGGTCCCGCACCACTGATTCCGACACGGAGTTTAAAGAACCCCGTTATTGTTGATGAGGTTTGGGGTTCAAGTGGCTAG